CCTGGCCTCTGAGGGTCTGGTTTCCCACAGGGGTCTGCCAGATGCCCCTGGGATGCCAGGAGGCACTCGGCCTGAAATTACTGAGTTGCTGGTGGAACAATTTCCAACACCTCAGAGGAAAGCTGGGAATTGTAGCTCTAAGCCTCGTCGCAGAAGGCGGGCACGAGGACACGTTCATGGCGAGAAACCAGCCCCAACACCCAACGTTTTTCAGACGATGCCTTTGGAAACCGTAAAACTCTGTTAGCAGCAAAACAAAACACCTCCTTCCTTACCAAGTTCTTGCAAGCTGGCCACGTTCTGGGCAACAAATATGCTCTTGGTTTTGGCCGCAGAGGCTTGGTCCGTGGGGGCCTGCTCTTCGCCTTCCCCTTCCCCCTAGGAGTAGAGCCAGGCGTTACTGTCTCCTGCCATCAGCTGGTTCACAGGCTTACCAAGAACAGCCCCATCCTCCCTTAGGTCCCTCACAAGACTCGACGGCGGGGACCAGGGCATTCAGAGCAGCTCTAGTAAACTGGAGGAAAGCCCTTCAAAGCCTTTTCTGTGCTTCCCAGAATCCCCTACCCTTGCACCCCCAAGCAGTGCGCTCCCTTAAGCCGTGTAATCTCAGGACAGAGTCTTGGGCCCCCCAGCCCCCCCTCGCTAAGAAGGACGGGCAGCCATTTTCCCAGGGAACTGAACCTTCTACGCAGCCTCCCTCCTTCCACTGGGTTCAGTGGCCACAACCCACCTGAGCCTGCAGTGTCATTGGAGACAGGGCCATTTTGGGATTGAAGACAGAGGTCAGCTGATTGAGAAAGTTCATCTGCACCTCCTTCTGTCGCAGTTCGGGCCTGACGGGAGAAGCCAGCTCTTTCTGATCCTCCACTGGAAAAGAGCAGCGGGAGCAGAGGGTCAGGCCAGGAGAGCAGCCCTCGCTGGACCCCCAGGGCCTCAGATGTCACTGGGAGGAGCCTTTACCGTCCGAGAGAGTCTTCACTGTCTGGGGGAGCTTGGCTGACTTCATCATCGCTGTGAAAGTGATGATCTCCGTCCTGTCCAGGCGGCTGCAGCCGGTGCACAACCCCTTGATCAGCAGGATCAGGTGTTTCTGAAGAAGCAAGGCCAACATCCAACCTCTGCTTGACACGGCATGATTTCCAAAGGGGTGAGTGGCACAAGATGCAGGACAGCTTTTCCTAAACCGAGCAGCCCCCAGCTATGCGGACAACAACTCCCAGAGTTCCCCAACCAGCACGGCCTTTGCTGTGAATTCTGGGAGTCGAGATCCCCACATCTGCAAGCAGACACCGGCTTCGTGGTTCAGCTTCAACCTAGAGCCTCTAATACAATTAGGCTGAAGCTCTCCACATGGTACCAGGAGCCACTTTTCTCACCTGTGAGACAGCACATGCTTCATCTGGGTTTTCAAGTCGCAACAGAGAGAATTCGATCAGTACTTTGCAGGCAGCCGCTACAGATTGCAGCTGATTCCGAGGTACTGAAAAGGCAAAGCGGTCACGTTAGTCAAATAATGCACGGGGCTTTAAGTTTTGAACAGCTCCTCGCAGATTTTCTGGGATCTCCCAATAAAAACTAGGCGAACGACAGTCCATACACAATGTCCCGACGCTCACTCACCCACTCCGCACACTGTGGTGATGTAGTGGGTTGCGAGGGCAACAAAAGATGAGTAGAAAGGCTCATATTGCTTGTCGTGGTGCAGGATTTCAGATTCACTGCAGTAGAGAAAAGAACCATGAGAAATACAAGCTCAGAAACCGGGCACTCGCTTAAAGGTGAATGTCTTCTCTGGGTGAATTCTGCCACTGATATATAGCAACTTAAACCTCCCTAAGAGCAGCTTAAAGCCAGCACTGGCTCAAAGGAGTCTTGGGCAGGAAAGGCTTGTCCCAGTTCTGCTAAATTAGGACCTCCTCAGCTGGAGCCCCTTTCTGAAGTAGAGCTTTCTCTGTAGAAAACGTGTTTTAGGACAAAGCTGCCGTGTGCTCTCAGACCTCTGGCCTGTATTGTTTGGCACTCCTTGTTCTATCAAGAAGCAGAAGGCAAGCAAAAGCTTCACTGGTGGACAGATATATCTCTCAAGGTCAGCTGCTGAGGAATCCCAGCGGGATGGTGTTTAGCTGACCAGCCACTGTGAAGCAGAACGCTGGATTTAGGAAAGCCTATAGTTAGATTCAGCGTTGGCAATTTTTAAATTTTAAGAGGGATTGCACCGATATAGAATACGGACTCAGAACAAACCAACAAAAATAATCAACAAAGCTTTTCAAATCCAAGTAATTCACTCTCAAGGATCCCATGGAAATGGTGGATTAATTGCAGCTGAAAATAGTACCCCACACTATTTTGAGGCTCAGCAATGATTCCGCTCAGCTTAAACAGGATCACAAAATGACTGAGAGGATTTTGCAAATAAATGGTAAGAGTTATAGCTCTGAAAGGAAGACCTAACTGGGCCATAACACCCTATGTACTTGGATTGCGTACTATTTTTTGCTTTCAAAACCCTGACTAGACTCATGCTGTTTATTCTGCTGATAGCCTACAGCACACACTGAAAAAACAAGCAACATTCATAGTTCCACCCAGAAATGCAGAGAGATAAAGTTTGTGCAACTCTGCAGAAGGGAGGTTTCAAAGCGGGCTGTTGCGTAATAGAAGTTTTGGATAAACACCCTAATGCGACACGGGAAGAGGAAAGCATTTGGGGAAGAATTGACATTCGGCCCAGGAACCGCATGACTGTGAAGCCAAGTAGTGTTTTTAAAAGTTGTTTTGGGGGATCATCTTGTTCTTAAACAGCCCCAACTTTGACCCTGGGAAATTCTTGACCCAAACAGCACAAACGCCTGTACAACATTTAGCTTAAAATGAACATGTTACCGATAAAAGCAATATACAGTCCAAAAACTATTGATGCATTAGTTCAAAGGAGGTAACTAGTTGCTGTCTAATACAGAAACTATTCAAAATGCATATCTAAGGAGCAGAGCTCGCAGCACACCTGTAGAATACAAGGCTCTATATAGGAAAAATTCTATATTCAAGCCCTATTAGAGTCTTGGGTACCCAAAGAATGTCAGGATGGGATATGGAGTACCACTGAAATGAGGAGCTTCTAGGTTCATTACAGCTGGTGGCACATTCCCAGGCCATAAGAGAAGAAGAGGGAACCGCAGTCCCAAAGACGTGCAAAAGAAAATACAGGGCCAAAGAAAGCGCTCCACACATTCATCTCTGATGAACTGGGCCACAGTCAACGCAGTTTTATCAGCGGGAGCGAGAATAACGGGCAACGGTTTAACCAAGGCTGTCCCCAGGTGCTAAAGTCGGGCAGGGATGGGAAAGGAGCAGGTGCCGCAGGGCCAAGCCTTGCGCGGATCTGACTCCGAACAACTTTCCCACCCAGCTGCGGCGCGTGTCTTTTCGCCCCTCTGGAGGGCTCTGGAAGGCCAGATTCCTTGATGGGGAGCTGGCTCCGGTGTGGTTATGCATCTGCCTGTTCTGAGGCCACCCTCCGAAAAGACAACTTCGTGACCACAACAAGCCCGTTACAAATATCCACCGTGGGAATCCTGCTTTTGTGAAACCCCCTCAACCGCCACGCCGCCTGTCAGACCCTCCCTCTAGCTCCCGGGTAGCGCAGACCTTCCGCGTGCCAACTACAACTCCCATCCTCCGCATCCCTGGCCACTTTTCCCAAGCAACCCCCTCCCACGTGGACCTACTGCAACCCCCCCGCCAAACTACCCCCCCCATCAGCCCCAGAGGGCAGGCTCTCCCCTCCAATCCGCAGCTCCTGCCTGCCACCTGGGCGAGGACTACAACTCCCATCAGCCTCCCCACCCACCCAAGGAGGCTTGGGGAGGGAGAGGCCGCAG